CCTGCCCTCTCTGAAACTCATTTTCCCATGTGCTAAATGTGTTAACTCAAAGTCTGTGCCCCAGGTAGCTGCAAAGATGAAATTAACTAACACACAGATCTTGTGACCTTAGGCTCCCTTGAAGCCCAGACCAGGAGTGATTCACACCCAGGACCAGCAAGAAGCTTTACCCAGGACAGGAGTGTTGCTTAAGGAATGTTAATATACAAAGTTGATAGGAGGGGTGAAGGAGGCAAAAAAACAGCAAATCTTAAAATTTCAACAACCCAAGTATTGAGGATATGAGGTGATATGGCTTCTCTCATGAGCCTCTTGAGAAGCAGTCTATTTCTTACCCAGCCATTCCACCCCTGGGCATTCACTGGGGGAAAAGAGGTACATTCCCCAAAGGTATGTACAAAATGGCTCAAAACTGCTTAATCCATGATAGTCTAAAGCTGGAAACAGGCTGGACCAGCGGCTCATGTCTGTAATCTCAGCACTCTGAGAGAATGAGTTGGGAGGATTACTTGAAGACAGGAGTTCGAGAGCAGCCTGAGCAAAAGCAAGACCCTATCTCCTCCCCAAAATAGAAAAAATTAGCTGAGCATAGTGGTGGTACCTGTAGTCCCTGCTACTCTGGAGGCTGAGGTAGAAGGTTTGCTTGAGCTCGGGAGTCTAGGGTTGCAGTGAGCTATGACAATGCCACTGCACTCTACCTGGAACAACAGAGTGTGACTCTGTCTCAAAGCAAAACAAAAACAAAATGCCTAAAAATAACCCAAATGTACACTAACAGGTGAATGGATAGTGAATCATTGGTACCCAACAGTTACAATTCTTTTTTATAGAAAAAGAACCCACCCAAGCAGTGGTGAGGATGTAGGGATATCGAAACCCTCATATGCTGCTGGTGGGAGGTAGAATGGTGCGGCTGCTGAGGAAAAGTCTGGCAGCTCCTCAAAAAGTTAAACACAGGGCGGTGCCCGTAGCTCAGTGGGTAGAGTGACAGCCACATATACCCTGGCCCGTGGGTTCAAACCCAGCATGGGTCAGCTAAACAACAATGACAACTTCAACAACAACAACAAAATAGCTGGGCATTGTGGCGGGCGCCTATAGTCCCAGCTACTTGGGAGGCTGAGGCAAGAGGATTGCTTAAGCCCAAGAGTTAGAGGTTGCTGTGAGCTGTGATGCCATGGCACTCTACCAAAGGTGACAAAGTGAAGTTCTGTCTCAAAAAATAAAAAAAAAAGAAAGAAAAAGCTAAACATAGAATTACCATGTGGCCTAGCAATTCCACTCCTGTATATGCCAAGATAATTGAAAATGGTGTTCAGGCTTGGCACCTGTGGCTCAAGTGGCTAAGGCGCCAGCCACATACACCTATGGTGGTGGGTTTGAATTCAGCCAGGGCCTGCCAAAACAACAATGACGGCAGCAACCAAAAAATAGCCAGGCGCTATGATGGGTGCCTGTGGTCCTAGCTACTTGGGAGGCTGAGGCAGGAGAATCGCTTGAGTCCAGGAGTTGGAGGTTGCTGTGAGCTATGATGCCACAGCACTCTACCCAGGGGGACAGCTTGAGGCTCTGTATCAAAAAAAAATAAAAAAAGAAAATGATGTTCAAACAAAAGAAAAAATTATTTTTGGAGGGAGAGTTTCACTGTGTCACTCAGGGTGGAGTGCAGTAGTGTCATCATAGCTCCCTGCAACCTCAAACTCCTAGCCTCAAGCGATCCTACTGCTCAGCCTATCAAAGTGCTAGGATTACAGGAGTGAACCAAGGCCAGGTGCTGCGGCTTATGCCTGAAATCCTACCATTCAGGAAGGGTGAGGTGGGTGGATGGCTTGAGCTCAGGACTTTGAGACCAACCTGAGCAAGAGTGAGACCCCATCTCTAAAAATAGCTGAGTGTTGTGGCAAGTTCTTATAATCCCAGCTACTTGGGAGTCTGAGGTAAGAGAATCACTTGAGCCCAAGAGTTTGAGGTTCCTGTAAGCTGTGATGCCACAGCATTCTACGAAGGGTGACAAAGTGAGCCTCTGTCTCAAACATAAATAAAATAAAATACAGGAGTGAACCAGTGAAACTGGCCCCCCAAAGTACTTGTACACAAATGTTAATAGCAAAAAATAACCAAAGGTAGAATCACAGTAGCCAACAATCACAATAGCCAAAAGGTGGAAACAACCCCAGTGTCAATGAACATAGTAATTCCATACAATTGAATATTATTCAGCCCTGAAAGGAATGAAGTACTGACCCATGTTACAGCATGAATTAAACTTGAAAACATTCTGCTGTGTGAAAAAAGCCAGACACAGAATGTCCAGAATGGGCAAATCCTTAGGGATCAAAAAGTATGTTAGTGGTTGTCAGGGGCTAGAGGAAAGGCTAAATGAGGAGTGAGGGCTGATGGGCATCGGGGGTGTCTCTTTAAAAGGATAAAAGCATTATGGAACTAGATATTAGTGAGGATGGCACAACATTGTGAATGCACTAAATGTGACTGAATTGTATACTTTAATATGGCTAAAATGGTAAGTTTTATGTTACATGTATTTTACCATAATAAAAAAGAACAACAACAACAACAACAAAAATTGGCACCCAGGAATACTACACAGTCATGAAAAGGAATAAGCACCTACTCTTCATCACAACGTGAGAAGCAAGAAGCCAGATCCAGTTACTGTCTGTGTGAAGTTCAAAACCATGTACAACTCCCCTGCAATGATGGAGGTCAGGGCAGTGGTCACCTTGCAGGAGCAGAAAATCAACAAGAGGGTCCTAGGAAACACTAAGGCCTGACAATGTACTAGATCTTAACCTGAGTGCTGCCACTCTCATTAAAATCTGGTCTTAACATTCATGAACTATGTCTATGTCAAACCTCAGCAAAGATACTAAAAAGAGGAACAAATTGCCAGTGGAAGAAGATGAGAGCCTCTGACAGTCCTGATGGCCCTTCCACTGTGTACAAATGCTATCACCTCTGACCCCTGTGAAAACTGGGGACCTAGAAACAGGCATGAAGATGAGCATAAACAAAAACCAAACTAGGCTCGGTGGCTCATGCCTGTAATCCTAACATTCTGGGAACCTGAGGTGGATAGATCCCTTGAGTACAGGAGTTCTAGAACAGCCTGAGCAAGAAGGTGACCCCTGTCTCTAAAAATAGTTGGGCATTGTGTCAGGTGCCTGTAGTCCCAGCTACTTGGCAGGCTGAGGCAAGGAAATGACTTGAGCCCAGGAGTTTGAGGTTGCTGTGAGGTACATGATGCCATGGTACTTTACCAAGGGCAACAAAGTGAAATTCTGTCTCAAAAACAACAGAAACAAAAAAACAAAGACCAGAGGTCAGTGATCTGAGTCCCATGCCTTGGATTTCAGAGATGTTCCCCACAGACTCCACATCAAGGTCCTCAGCCTGAGGGATACTTTAGGACACAAAGACCTCAAGGCTCCAGAACATGCAGGACATTAGCCCCCAAAGCCTAAGGGGGGAACTTCATCCCAAAGTAGACACCATGGTGGAGGCACATCTCAGCACCTCAGGCCCTATATGACCAATTAGAATTAATAGCAACAACTATAACTCACAGCCTTGTACAGAAGGAGAAGGATGGACTTCAGTCAGAAGCTCCTAGGTTCAAATCCTGAGCCAAGCAATAAGTACACATGGAAGGAATAAATGAATGGATGGTAGACATTCAACATTGACATTGTGCCCATTTCAAAAGCCTTTATCATGCTCTTCTTAGATGTCCAGCCTTGTCCTGGGTCTGGCCTCCAAAGAGTCCCCAGCTTGGAAGGATATACACAGCCTGACACAAACATTCTCACTCTCATTATTGCTCAGAGCAACAGTAGAGGAAATCACAGGATACTACGACTCAGGGAAGGGAGCCAAGGGAGAGGGACCAGGATAGAGGAAGGATATCAAGGCCAAAAAGGAAGTGGAGTGCAAAAATGGTAGACAGCACGTGGCTAGTGGCTGTTACACACTGACCAGAGAGGAACTTGGGCTGAAAAACCCAGATAATGAATGGCAGTAGAAGGCTGATTCTGCTTTCCAGACCTTTCCCAGTCTGTCCTGATTTGCTTTGCACACCTCTGGAGACCCAGAGCTAACTCCTGAGGAAAACAGCTCAGTCTTCCCAGGTATGGGCAACAGTACAAAAGTTCCATGCAAGATGATGTGGCTGCTATAGGCAAAAAGAGCTGAGGAAGACTGGTGAGAAAGGGGTACACCGTGAGAGCCGCACAGGCAGCTTCTGCCACAGGCCGGATGTGGAGTCAGACCCACTTTGGATCAAATCTGCTCTACCAATTACAGGCCTGGTGACTTCATCCCTCCAAATCTGTTCCCTCTCCTTTCCTCTGAAATGTCCATACTGACAGGGCTTATCTCATAGCTTTGTGTAGGCATTTGTATTCAGTGAGCTAATGGAATAAAATGTCTGGCTCACGGTAAGTGCAGAATAAGGGTATGGCCCTGCTTTGGGAGGAGTGCTTTGGTGGTGTCCCAAACACTCTCTCACTTATAAAACTCTGCACGTGTAACTTCTTCCTCACATGCTCTGGCCTGACCACTCACATCCAGGAAACTCCTACACATCCCTCAAAGCCCTACTGTCAAGATACATTTCTTTTCTCTGTTCGAGCCCTGACCTGGAGAGCCGGGACCATCCCGACCAACGGCATTTTGAAGGGAGTTCCCTGAGAGCCGAGATTCTCACTAACACGTGATAGGCACACCGTCAAAGGTTATTGAATGAATGAATGAATGAATGGTCATTTGGGAGGGGCGGGCCAAAGTAGAGACACAAGATTCAGCCAACCAATTTGGCGCCCCTAATCCTTGCTATCCACGACCTCAAAGGGCTTGGCCCAGACCAGACAAAGGGGCGAAAAGGGGCCTCTGGGCAGGGTCTTCAGCTCTTCCGGCGTGGTCCCCCCCCTTTAAGAGGCGGGGCCAAAGGGGGTGGGCCTTGAGAGCTACAGGGCGGTGCAAAGATGGCGGCGGTGGAGGTTGAACCCGGGGCGGCTAGAACGCCGAGCTCACTGCTGCTGGTTGTGGGCAGCGAGTGCGGATGTCCCGGGCTCCTAACTTACGTCCTGGAGGAGTTCGAACGAGGTCGAGCCGGCCCTGGGGCGCGGGAGGCCGGGAGGCGGGCGCGGGCGCGGCCGCACATCTCGGCCCAGGGTCGGGGGGGTGGGGCGGAGGGGCCGAGGATCCCGGGCTTGGATCTTCTGGATCCACGGGGGTTGGCAGTCCGAAGGCTCAGCCTCCTTCACCGTTAGGTTCTCTGCTCTGGCAAAGATGAGATGGCCGTGGGCGCCCGCGGAGGAAGCGGCATCCACGCCTGGGCTGGGCTACCCCGCCCAACTCTGGGTGCAGACCCAGTAGGGGTCCCGGGACTTGGCCTTGGAAGCCTTACAGTTGTGCTGAGGCTCCGCTTGCGGCTAGACTGGCCCGCCCTGGGGGAGGGGCGGGTCGCCTTGGATCCCTAGGTCTTGGCAGCGTGGACAGCCTGGGGAGAGGAGCAGGTACCGGGAAGGTTAGGCCTGTAGCCCTGAGGCCCACTTTTTATTGCCGCATGCGAAGCTGCTAATTGGGGCGTGGGCAGGTGCGGCCTGCCCGGGGGGATTTGGCACCTGGGGAGGTGAGTCATAGGTGCACCTGTAAGGTTCACCTGCAGCCACTTGACGGGACAGGCCGCCAGGCAGTGGGAAAAGCTGATGCTAGGGCGATCCGTGGAAACATGCCTTGCAGGGCATAGGAGATGTCCTGAGTCTTGTCTGTAAAGTGCTGACCTGTGCTGTGGGTCCCTTGAACCGGCTGTGGCGAGACCTGTGGGTGTGGGTGGTTCTAAGTCTCCAGGATGCATCCAGTGAAAACAAGTCTAGGGGAGGGGCTGAGGGGGCCCCCACTAATGTGGTACTAGTTTTTGAAATATTTTGGGATCTGGGAGGCCTGGCTGAACTCTGTTTTCGATGCCCCTTCCCATCAGGCGTCCGGTCCTGGGACGTTGATCCTGGCATCTGCAGATTCGATGCAGAGCTCAAAGTCTTTGTGTCCCGGCATTCAGCCACCTTCTCCAGCATCGTGAAAGGTGAGGCTGGAATCCATGTGTGTGTACTGTCTGCCTCCCTTCTGCATGTTCACTGGGCAAGTGCCTGCTGTGTTCAACGACAGTAATAATACAGCCAGGACCTTCTAAGTGCTGAGCAGAAGCAAGCCCTGACCCACTGATAACTCTTCAGTCTTCAGCAAACCCAGGCAGGAACTAGTGTCTTTGTCCCCAGTTTACAGGTGAGGAAACCTTGGTGTCAAAGGGGCAGGGAATCCTCTGAGAAGGTTGCTATTTGGATGAGAAACTGCTAGGGCTGGAGTGTCAGGTGGAGGGGGGTGGGTAACTGAGCCAGCCTGGAGGATGGAGTGTGGGCTCCTTGTAGGCAGGGACCTAATTTGGTTCACGCTGTGACCCCTGCACCAGATGAGTATACAATAGGCACTCAGTAGATGGGGAACTGAAAAGGAGGGAAATCAAGGAGGGCCCCTGTTCTTCACGAGGCTCCCTGGGGATTCTGGGGTGACCCAGAATGAATAGGGCAACTGGTAAGCAGGCCTTGGGTGTTGACTGCAACTCTCCCTGCTCTGGCTGCCTGTTGAGTCACCTCTTAGCTGCTGCTGGAGAGGAGGGGAAGGAAGTGCCTGTCATCTCATTGTCCCAGAAAGTCCTGGTGGCTTCCTGATCCCTCAGGGGTAGGGAGGGGAACTGGAAATCCTGTCTACTCTTATGGCCACTTCCCGTGTCTTCCTTGGTTTCCCCACTTGAATGGGGCAATATCCATGTGATAAGAAGCATGATAAACATGACAAAGGTTGATGAACATCATTGCCTCATTAACTACAGGGCCTAGGGCTCTGTGTTTAAAACACATCTGGGCTCTGGGAGGCAGACCAGGGTTAGGATCCCGAAAGCACCCCACTCACACTTCCCCATCCTATCCTGCCTCAGGGTCTTTGCCCAGGTTGTATCTTCTTCCTGGGTGCACCCTCATTGATACCCCTACCCATTTCACCCCTTCCCCAGGCTTCTTGCCTATAAAATTGGGGTGATGATGGGATCCACCATAGGGCTGACAGCTGCCACTCAAGCCCAGCTCACAGTGGGGGCCTTGTTAACTGCCATTTCCAGTGTGAGGCCTCCCAGGTCAGGTTTGGGTTTCCTGTCCTTGCCTCATGCTGACTTACAGCTCTACTGTGTGCCTGTTAATTCCCATATGAGTTATTAATATTCTCCTGGGGGGAGGGGGTTCTCAGAGGGCTTTGTGTTACCTGAGGGTCATTCAGGGAGGAAGGACTTGATTCGCGAGCAGTCTGACCCCTAGTGGGTGTCCTGGTCTGATTCCTTCACAGGCCAGCGGAGCCTGCATCACCGTGGAGACACCCTGGAGACCCTGGTCCTTCTGAACCCATCAGACAAATCCTTATGTGATGAGGTAGGGAACAACTGATGTCCTAGAGGGAGCAGGGTGCTGGGACCAGTGTCATCCTTGTCCTCATGTCCCCATATTCATGCTACCTAACATCCTCTCCTTGAGACACTTAACACCAAACCCGGGGGAGAAAAGGCTGGAGTTTGGGAGCAGGTGGGGTAAACACTCAGCACAGGACCCAGGATAGTGCAGTTGAGGAGGTGGGAAGGTAGGACCTGATTAATCTTTGTGTCCTGTGAGTTTCCTTCAGCTAAGCCACAGTACTTGTTTGAATTGAGGACATCTGTATCCTCCCAATTATATGTCAAAAAGATGAACAAGGGTGGATGCAGTAGGTCACACATGGACTCCCAACACTTTGGGAGGCCGAGGCAGGAGGATCACTTGAGTCTAGGAGTTTAAGAACAACCTGGGGAACAAAACAAAACCCTGTCTCTAGGAAAAAAAAAATTAGCCAGATGTGGTGGCATACCTGTAGTCAGTCCTAACTACTTGGAAGACTGAGGCAAGAGGATCATTTGAACCAGGAGTTTAGGTTGCAGTAAGCTATGATGATACCACTGTACTCTAGCCTGGGCAACAGAGTAAGCCCCTATCTCAAAAAAAAAAAAAAAAAAGCCCTGGGACACCCTCTAGAGATTCTCTTACAGGTTGATTGGTTGATTTCTTTGATCAAAAATGTTCCCTTTTGCTCTATCAAAGAGTTCTCAGTCTGTGGGAGAGAGCACCACACATAGATACCCCCAGCCCTGTGGCATCAAGGCTGGGCTAGAGGGAGAGGTGGGCTTGAGAGAGCCCAGAAAGGGCACGAAGGGCTTTCAGGAGGAGTAGATATTAGAACTGGGCTTCCCGGTGATGCCACAGGAATCTGTGTGTGTGTGTGAGGGTGGGGGTAGGGCATAGGGGAACCCAGCAGAGGTAGCTAAGTGAGCACTGGCCTGGCCGTGGGGTAAGAACAGGAGAGGGGTGGTTTTGTGTAGCTTGGGGCTGAGGGTACCCCCCCTAAGGGGACTGCTGGTTATATCACTGCACTGAATGGGGCCTTTAATACTTCTCCCAGCTCCGGAACCTTCTGTTAGACCCTGCCCCTCACAAGCTGCTGGTGCTGGCTGGGCCCTGCCTAGAAGAGACAGGGGAGCTGCTGCTCCAGACAGGGGGATTCTCACCCTACCACTTCCTCCAGGTCCTGGGTGACAAAGAGGTGAGCCACTCCCATGCCATTTCCCCTTCCCCAGCTCTGAATCCTGGCTTGTCCCCCTCAGGCTATGTGGCCTCAGTGCCCTGCTGTCCTCCCTGATCCTGTCTTCCCCTCCTTTGTAAGATGGCAGTACATGTGCCTCCTAGCTGTCAGGAATCAGCCCCATAATCCATGACAAGGGATGGAACTGGGCCTGTAGGTCAGCCAATGTCCCAGAGGCCTGATGTAGTACCTAAGATGCTAGGTCCCAGCTAGGATGGAGCCAGATGGGTCCTTTCTGGAGCTCTCAGTCTGGGTGAGGCAAGTGGGCAAAAGTATCTGGCAAATCACATTTTCATGTTTCAGTGAGTGGTGAGAGAAAGGTACAGTAGGCAGGGGTGAGGGTATAGAAGGTCTCCATGGAGGCAGCTATGCTCCAGAAGGAAAGAACAGCAAGTGCAAAGGTCCTGGGGCAGGCACATATTTGAAGGGGAGGGAAAGAATCAGGAAATGAGGCCAGATCATGGAGCATCATGGCCCTAGGGAGGGCTGGGTTTTGTTGGAGGATAGTAAGGATCCTCCTAGCCCTAGGAGGTAGGATGGGGGAAACTCTCACCCAGTTTTCCCAAGGGACTAGGCATTGCCTGGCTCTAGGCTGCCCCTCACCACTTCCTTGCACTTGCAGATCCGGGACATACTAGTCTCCATGCCTCCACCTGCACACCAGCCCACACTTACCATTGCTTGTCCGACTTTTGGAGACTGGGCCCAGCTGGTGCCACATGTGCCTGGCCTACAGGAAGCACTCTGGCTACAACTGCGGCTGAATCCACCAGTGCAGCTGCCAGCCTCTGAGGGCTTGCGTGAGTTCTTGGAGTGCCTGGCTGAGTCCCTGGAGCCACCATCACCCTTTGAGTTGTTGGAGCCTCCATCCTCTGGGGGCTTCCTCAGGCTCGCCCGGCCCTGCTGCTACATCTTCCCTGGAGGCCTCGGAGACGCTGCCTTCTTTGCTGTCAATGGTTTCACTGTGTTGGTCAATGGTGGCTCGAACCCCAAGTCCACCTTCTGGAAGCTGGTGCGGCACCTGGATCGGGTGGATGCTGTTTTGGTGACCCATGCTGGTGCTGACAGTCTTCCGGGTCTCAACAGCTTACTGCGTCGCAAATTGGCAGAGCGCCAGGAGGTGGCCGCCAGTGGGGGCTCCTGGGATGACCGGTTGCGCAGGCTCATCTCTCCCAACCTGGGGGTCGTGTTCCTCAATGCCCAGGAAGCCACATTGCGGCTGGTGGACGGGGAGGATGAGGTAGAGCTGGCGCTGAGCCTCCTGACCCAGCTGGGCATCACACCCCTGTCCCTGAGCCGAGGGCCGCTGCCGGCCCAGCCCACCGTGCTCTTCTATAAGATAGGTGTGGGCCGGCTGGACATGTATGTACTGCATCCGCCCTCGGCCGCTGCTGAGCGCCCACTGGCCTCAGCCTCCGTGTGCACCCTGCTGGTGTGGCACCCTGCAGGTCCCACTGAGAAAGTGGTGCGTGTCCTGTTTCCAGGTTGCACGCAGCCAGCCCGCCTGCTGGAAGGCCTCATTCCCCTGCAGCATTTGAGATTCTTACGCGAGCCAGTAGTGACACCCCAAGACCTAGAGGGGCCTCAGCGAGCAGAGAGCAAGGAGAGCGTGGGCTCACGGGACAGCTTGAGGAAAGAGGGCCAGGCCACTGCTCCTGCCAGGCCTGGCCAGGACCGCCCTGGGGTGGCCCGCAAGGAGTCAGTACGGGCTGAGGCCCCTCGTAGGACTGAGAAAGAAGCTCGGTCCTCCCGGGTGGTGAAGAAGGACCCCAAGCCAAGTGCTTCCCGGACGCAGCCCCAACCCCAGCCCCGGGACGTGCGCCGAGTGGCCTCTACTGCACCGACCTTCAAGAAGGCGGGCACCCAGGCAGCCACCAAGTCCCGCAGAGCAGCGAACTCGGGCATCCTACCTGTGGAGAACGGTCCCCACAGTCCCCCAGGCATTAGATGTGGAGAGGCCAGCCCTGTGACTGCAGCCTGCAGCTCCTTGGCCAAGCTGGAGGCCACACCCAGCCTGGAGCAGGGGCTGACCCCAGCTGGGGAGAAGATGCTGGAGCTCCCATTGGCTACCAGCACCACTCGACCACACACGGCCTCCCCTGTACCTCGTCGGAGCCCCGTGGAGGGCAGTGGGCAGCTGTCACTCAGCCCACTGCGGGGTGGAGAGGCTGGGCCTGATGCCTCACCCACAGTGACCACACCCACACTGACCACACCTTCATTGCCCGCGGAGGTGGGCTCTCCACACTCCACAGAGGTAGACGAGTCCCTGTCTGTGTCCTTTGAGCAAGTACTGCCCCCATCTGCCCCTACAAGCGAGGTTGGTCTGAGCCTTCCTCTGCGTGGCTCCCGGGCACGTCGCTCAGCTTCCCCCCATGATGTGGACCTGTGCCTGGTGTCACCCTGTGAGTTTGAGCACCGCAAGGCTATGCCTATGGCGCTGGCAGCTGCATCCCCTGGTAGCTCCAATGACAGCAGTGCCCGGTCTCAGGAGCGGGCAGGTGGGCCAGGGGCTGAGGAGACGCCACCCACATCGGTCAGCGAGTCCCTGCCCACCCTGTCTGACTCAGATCCCCTGCCTGCTACCTCTGGTGCCGCAGATTCAGATGACAACACAGAGGGCTTTGGAGTCCCACGCCGCGACCCTCTGCCTGACCCCATGAAAGTTCCCCCACCACTGCCTGACCCACCCAACATCTGCATGGTAGACCCTGAGATGTTGCCCCCCAAGTCGGCCCGGCAGACAGAGAACCTTGGCCACACTCGAAAGCCCCTGGCCCGGCCCAGCTCAGGCACTACCTACCCTAAAGCTGTTCCAGTGGGTGCTGCCAAAACAAAGGGGCTTGCTGGTGGGGACCGGGTCACCCGGCCACTGAGTGCTCGAAGTGAGCCTAGGGATAAGGGAGGCCAGGCACTCCTATCTAGAAAGTCCTCGGTCCCCAAGACTGCCGCTGGAGGCTTGTCAGGTGAGTACTGGGAGCTGGGTTACCAGCCATCAAGGCTGGAGAGAGCATGGCTCCAGTGCACCTGTTCCTACTCAGCCACACATGCACCCTCTCTGAGGCTCAGTTTCTCCTATAAAATAAAATTCCAGCCTCCCTGTTGAAGGACTTGCCATCCTGAAGCATGTGAGCAACACCATCACTTGCAAGTGACATGAGAATGCTTGGCACGGTGGGTTTTCTGGAAGCTACAATAAGTAACACAAAACAAAAACAGGTAAAATGTTAAATAGTATATTTTGTTTAACCCATTGGCTTGGAGGCTCCTGTTGTGCTCAGAGCTGGGATGTATCACAGCAGAGCAAGATCAGGAAAGGGAAAAGACACAGGGTAAAGTCCAGAGGAAATCAAGCAGAAACTTCTAGAATCCTCTCTCAGTGGAGAGGAGACACCAAGCACGCACATCTGTTAGCGAGTCCCTGCCCACCCTGTCTGATTTGATCCTCCTGGTGAGGTTCCAGTGAAACATGAAGGGCTTCAGAGTCCCATGCTTGAGTGGGCCATACACCATATCCTTAATTACCCCAGAAGTGAGTTGTGACAACTCACATGCACTGTGTCATTCATAGAAACTCACTAGAGACTTGGCACCCAGGTTTTTATGGAGGTCATGTAGGCATCCCTCTGCTTCACATATAAAGAGACTTAAGACTAACCTGGGTAACATGGTCTCTTTCCTGTGGAAAGAGGAAAGCCAAGTGGTCAGCATAAACCACTCTGGCGTACAAACAGTCTAGGTATGGCACGCCCCTCTTACCAGGTGAGGAATAGTGGGAACCCTCCTAAGATCCAAGTTCCTGGATGCTAGCCAAGGGTGTGTCTGCTGTGCTTTTATTTTTTTAGTTATTAAACATATCAATTTACCATCTTAACCATTTTAAGTATATAGTTCAGTGTAATTAAAGTACCTTCATGTTGTTGTACAACTATCACCACCATCCATCTCCAGAATACTTGTAAAACTGAAACTCTGTCTCCATTATAGTACTCATCCTCTCCCCAGTCGCTGGCGACCAATGTTCTAGTTTGTCTCTGAATTTGAGTACTTTATATAACTCATGTAAGTGGAATCCTACAGTATCTGTCTTTCTGTGACGGGTTTATTTCGTGTAGCATGATGTGCTCAAGGTTCATCCATGTTGTAGCATGTTCAGAGACTTCATTCTTCTTTATGGTTGAATAATGTTCCATTGTGAGGATAGACCCATATTTTGCTTATCTTATATAAGATTTTCTAAAAGTCTTATATATCTTTCTTTAGAGAAATGTTTATTTTATCCATTGGTGGGGACGTCTTAGCCATTTTGAATAATGCTCCTATGAACACGGGTGTACAGATATCTCTTCTAAACTCCACTTAAATTCTTTTGTGTATATTCCCTGAAGTGGAGTTGCTGGATTGATAGTAATTCAATGTTTAATTTTTTGTTTGTTTGTTTTTTTGTTTTTGGCCAGGTCTGGGTTTGAACCTGCCACCTCCGGATATGGGGCTGGTGCCCTACTCCTTTGAACCACAGGCGCTGCCCTGACTGTTTAATTTTTTAATGAACCTCCATGCTGTTTTCTACACCACTGCACCATTTTACATTCTCACCAGCAATACACAAGGATTCCAGTTTTTCCTCATCCTTGCCAATGTTTGTTATTTTCCTTTTGTTATTGATAATAGTCATCCTAATGGGTGTAAGATGATATCTCATTTTGGTTTTGATTTGGATTTTCCTAACGATTAGTGATGTCAAATGGCCATTTGTATATCTTTCTTTAGAGAAATGTTTATTCTGTTGCCCATTTTTTTTTTTTTGTACAGACAGAGTCTCACTCTGTCACCCTTGGTAGAGTGCCATAGCGTTACAGCTCACAGCAACCTCTAACTCCTGGGCTTAGGCAATTCTTTTGCCCCAGCCTCCCAAGTAGCTGGGACTACAGGCACCTGCCACAACACCAGGCTATTTTTTGTTGCAGTTCGACTGGGGCCAGGTTTGAACCCACCACTCTCGGTATATGGGGCCGGCGCCCTACTCACTGAGCCACAGGCGCCGCCCTCTCTTGCCCATTTTTAAATAGGCTTTTTTTTTAATTTACTTTTTTTTTGAGACAGTCTCACTTTGTCACCCTTGGCAGAGTGCTATGGCATCATAGCTTGCAGCAACTTCAAACTGTTGAGCACAAGTGATTCTCTTGCCTCAACCTCCCAAGTAGCTGGGACTATAGGCATTCACCACAACACCTGGCTATTTTTTCAAGATGAGGTCTCAGTCTGGCTCAGACTGGTCTTGAACTCCTGAGCTCAGGCATTCCATACCCCTCAGCCTCCATGAGTTCTGGGATTACAGGTGTGAGCCACCACCCAGCCTAAATTTGCCTTTTTGTTGAGTTTTAGAAGTTTTCTTAAAAATATATTCTGGATATTAATCCGTTATTACAGATATGATTTATAAATATTTCCTCCCATTCTGTGGGTTGCTTCTTACTCTCTTGATTGTGGGATTTTTGTTTTTTGGAGACAGAATCTCTCTTTTGCCCAGGTTGCAGTGCAATGGCATCGTAACTCACAGCAACCTCAAACTCCTGAACTTAAGCAATCCTCTCGTCTTAGCCTCCAGAGTAGCTAGGATTACAGGTGCATACCACCAGGCCTGGCTAATTTTTTATTTATTATTATTATTTATTTTTTGCACTTTTTGGCAGGGCCGGGTTTGAACACGCCACCTCCGGTATTTGGGGCCAGTGCCCTACTCCTTTGAGCCACAGGTGTGCCACCCTTTTTTATTTTTATTTTTTGTAGGGATAGAGTCTTGCTGTGTTACCCAGGTTAGTCTTGAACTTCTGGACTTGGGCAATCCACCAGCCTCAGTGCCCTAAAGTGCCCAGATTACAGGTGTGAGTCACTGTGCATGGCCTGATTGTGTCCTTTGATGCACAAAAGGTTTAAATTTTTACGTAAGCCCATTTTGACTTTTCGTTTTTTGGGGGAAAGATTTTACCCTATATTTTCTTCCAATAGTTTTATAGTTTTGGCTTTTACCTTTGGGTCTCTGGTTGGGAGGTAGGGGTCCAACTTCATTCTTTTGCATGTAGAAATAATTTTTCCAGCACCATTTGTTGAAAAGACCTTTCTGCATTGAATGGTCTTGGCACTCTTGTTGTAGATCATTTGGCTATTTACGCAAACATTTATTTCTGGGCTGTCTATGTGTCTGTCTTTATGCTAATACCATGCTCTCTTGATTACGATAGCTATGTAGTAAGTTTTGAAATCAGGACATCTCAACTTTCTTATTATATTTCACAATTGTTTTGGCTATTCAGGAACCTTTAAGATTCTACTTTTCCTTTTTTTTTTTTTTGGAGACAGAGTCTCACATTGTTGCCCTGGGTAGAGTGCTATGGTGTCTTAGCTCACAGCAACCTCAAATTCTTGGGCTCAAGCAATCCTGTTGTCTCAGCCTCCCAAGTAGCTACAACTATAGGCACCTGGCTATAACACTTGGCTATTTTTAGAGACGGGGGTCTTGCTCTTGCTCAGGCTAGTCTCGAACTCGTGAGCTCAAGTGATCTGCCCACCTTAGCCTCCCAAAGTGCTAGGATTACAGGCATGAGCCACTGTACCTGGCTCCATGTGAATTTTAGAATGTTTATTTTCTATTTTTGCAAAAAAAAAAAAATTGAGATTTTGATTGGGATTGCACTGAATTTGTAGATCATTTTGAGGGTCATTGACATTTTAATAGGTCTTCTAATTGACAAACTCAGCAATATTTTGTCATTTTCATTGTACAAATGTTTCACTTTTTTGGTTAACTCCTAATTGTTTCGACTTTTTTAAGTGGAATTATTTTCTTAATTTCCTTTTCAGATTGTTCTTTGTCAGTGTATAGAAATTCAACTGCATTTAGCATGTTGATTTTGTATCTTGCTACTTTGCTAAATTTCCTTATTATTTCTAACAGTATTTGTGGTATCTTTAGGGTTTTATACAAATGAGATCATATCATCTAGAAACAGAATTTTACTTTTTCCTTTCCAACTTGGATACCTTTTCTTTCTTTACTTTTACTCAGTTGCTCTGGGTAGGATTCCAGTACTGTGTTGAATAGAATAATGCAGGTAGGCATCCTTGTCTTGTTTCTTCCTGATCTTGGAAAGCTTTCAGTCTGTCATCACTGAGTATGACATGATCTGTGGGTTTTTCATATATGATTTTTATTATGTTGAGGTATTTTTCTATTCTTAGTTTGAACGTTTTTACCATGAAAGAATGTTGAATTTTGTCAGATGCTCTTTCTGCATCAATGGAGATGATCAGGTGGTCTTTTTCTCTTTATTCTTTTAATGTGGTATATTGATTTTTTTCATATGTTGAGCTATCCCTGCATTCCATGAATCTCACTTGGTCATGGTATATAAACATTTTAATATGCTTCTGAATTTGGTTTGTTAATAGTTTATTGAATATTTCTACATTATTGTTCATAGAGGATATTGACCTGCCATATTCTTACAGTGTCTTTGTCTGGCTTTGGTGTCAGGATAAAATAAGTTAGAAAGTATTCTTTCCTCTTCAGTGTTTTAGAAAAGTTTGAGCAAGTTCAATTCTAGTTCTTTAAATGTTTGGTAGAATTCACCAGTGAAGTCATTAGGTCAAGGGCTTTTCTTTGTCTAGAGATCTTAAATTACTTAAGCATTCATTCTCCTTGCTAATTGTAGGCATATTCAGGTTTTCTATTTCTTCATGATTCAGTCTTGGTAGTTTTTATGTTTGTAGGAAATCACCTATTTCATCTAAGTCAATTTGCTGGTCTTCAGACATTTATAGTACTCTTATCCCACGCAAGCTGCCCATTGTCTGTGCCAACACTCAGCCACTTTTAGTCAGTTGATTTTTAGCTCACCCAAGGCTGGCAGCCTCAGCCCCTTTGGCCCTGAGGCTGGGGCTTTGAGAAGGCCCCAAGAGTAGCTGCCTCATCGCCATCTAGCCTGCCACATCCTGGGTTTCCCTCTTAAGACTTTTCTCTCACACCTGCTCTGGGTCCCTATTGCTCCCCAAGGCCCAGGAGAGCTTGATAAACACACACCCCTTGAGTAATTGAACAGACAGAAGCTGCTACAGCAGCAGAGTGTCCCAAGGACTGGCTGCTTTAAGGGTTCAAATTCAAACCCCCTCTTCCAAGAAGCTCTCCTGATTGCCCCATCTCCTTTCTGATTCCAGGGTTGTCTATCTAGGCAGCGTCTGGCTTGTATGACTCCTCTTACACCCACTCAGGCTCCTAGCACAGACGGGCAGCTGGTAGTGTTTGTAGTGTATAAAGAGTCACTGGAGTAATGAGCCCACCAGGGAGGGCTTGGCAACCATAAAACAGTGAGATCAGGCCTCCTGCTAAAAAGGGTGCAGGTTGTTCCAGGAGCCTCAGCCCAGGCCCTGGGTCTTAGCTTGTCCCTGTTCCCAGGACCTCATTACTATCTTTCCTCCCTGCAGGATCAGCTGGCAGACGGTCAGCTGGGTCAACTGGCCTGTCGGGCTCCCCTGTCTACCTGGACCTGGCCTATCTGCCCAGCGGGAGTAGTGCCCGCCTGGTGGATAAAGAGTTCTTCTGGAGGGTGCGTGCCCTCTGCTATGTCATCAGTGGCCAGGACCGGCACAAGGAAGAGGGCATGCGGGCTGTCCTGGATGCACTGCTAGCCAGCAAGCAGCAATGGGACCGTGACCTCCAGGTACATACCACCTTGTAGAGCCTAACACAGTAAACCCAGCCTGCCTAGGTGGGATAAACCACATTTGACCCACATGGTCCTGCAATGTGATGCTGGCAGGGCTCAGAGACTAAGCTGCATCCCTGATGCCATACAGGGATGAGGACAAACACAGAAGTCCCACCCATCTTAGTCCCTAGGTGACCCTTCAACTCTGTTTCTATTGGGTCACCTTCCTCATTGGCTGTGCAGGAAACCTGGGAGAGGACACAGGGCCAGGATCATTTTATAACCTCCTCCCTGACACTCTGTCACTTAACTAGGATTGTATAGGTGGGCTGTGTGTGCAGTGGCCCCTAAAGACTAGGGTTGCCCTATAGGCCTCCTGAAGCCATGACATTGAAACCAGGCTTTGGAGGGTAAGGCTAATTTAGATAGAGGAAGAACACTCTCACACTGTCTGGGTGTGGAGTCCCTGCACTCACACAGCTGCTGGTCCAGCCCAGAGGAACATCCCAGGAACAGGGCACAGCCTGGGCAAAGGCCCAGAGGTGGGAGCAAGAGAGAGGGGAAGAGGGGCTTGGCTTGGGGAGGGATTTGCAGAAAAATGGCCTGGTCTCCTCTGTACTGAAGGGACTTTAGGGATGGGCTGACCACCAGCTGCAGAAATCAAGGCAGAGCAAACAAGTTTAGAGAAGAGATTGGAGGGCCCTTCAATGCTGGGAAAGGAAGGAGAGTTGGGCTGGGCTAGGAGGGCAGAAGGCATTGCCCTCACTGGTGGTCTGTCTGTCCTACCTGCAGGTGACCCTGATTCCCACTTTTGACTCAGTGGCCATGCACAAGTGGTATGAGGAGACGCACACCCAGTGTCAGGCACTGGGCATCACAGTGCTGGGCAGCAACAGCATGGTGTCCATGCAGGATGAGGCCTTCCCAGCCTGCAAGGTGGAGTTCTAGCTCTGCTGCTTGACACACCATCCCCACTCATCCCAGACTACCTCCGTCCCGAGATTCACCCAACATACCATCCCCACTCATCCCAGACTACCTCTGTCCTGAGATTCATCAACATCACAAATAAACCATGTAGTCTGCTTGGCTGTGGCCTCTATTCTTTTGGCCAAGAGAAGGCTTTGACAAGTGGCCTACAGTCCTGGGATGTGGGCAGCTTCCCTTCTGAGGAATCCGCAGTGATTAGGTTAGGCTTGCTCTAGCTTCCGTGTGGCAGTGGTGAAGGAGGCACTTCTCAGAGTTAATGGCCATGGCCTTCACCCCAATACAGCAACCATAAGTAGCCCAAGTTGCTTAAGGGAAGTAGCTGCCTGACTCCCCTCCCCTATCACACAAACCAGTTGGTGGTCAGAATGGGATTTGAATACGGGTCTCTGTGTACTAAAGCCAGAAAACAAAATTACCCTTCTGTCTCTAGAGAGGATCAGTGCTCATTCCAACAAAGTCACACTGTTACAAGGACTGGTTTTTTTTTTTTTGAGCCAGAGTCCTGCTCTGTTACCTGGAGTGCAAGGGTGTTGTCATAATGGCCTAAACAACTTGACATTTATTTCTCACAGTTCTAGGGGCTAGAAAAGCCAAGATCAAGCTGCTGGCTGACTTGGGTTCAGGTGAGGAATCTCCTGGTTTGCAGATGTACACTTTCTTGCTGTGTTATCACATGTCAAAGAGGAAAGAGAGAGGGACAGACAGTGCACAAGCTCTGCTGAATCCCATCACTGCCCTGCCTTCGCAACCTCATCTAGCTCTACCTCCCAAAGCCCCAGTCAACAAATACCATCTCATTGGGGGGTTAGGTCTTCACCACAGGAATTTGGGGGGACATGAGTAGTCCACAATAATTGGGGTTCAGAGTCATAAGGCCACTGGCCATTGTGGAAACCTCTACAAAGGATTAGTTATGGGGACTCTGAGTAGGAGCAAGAAAGCTGGTCTCTGACCATCTATGTGGAAGGTTGGGGCTTTTTATTTGAGACAGAGTCTCACTCTGTCACCCAGGCTAGAGTGCCATGGTGTCAGCCTAACTCACAGCAACCTCAAACTCCTGGACTCAAGTGATCCTGCCTCAGCTTCCCAAATAACTGGGACTAGAGGCGCCCACCACATCACCTCGCTAATTTTTTCTATTTTTAGTCAAGGCAGACTACAGCTCTTGCTCATGTTGGTCTTGAACTCCTGAGCCCAAGCAATCCTCCCTCCTTGGCCTCCCAGAGTGCTAAATTACAGGAGCAAGCTACTACACCCAGCCCCAGGATAGGCAGTGAGGAAGGTAGATGGAACACAGGTGCTGTACCCACACCTGCCACCTCCTGCCTGAATGTCTGCTGATGGATGCCAAAGAAGCTCAACTCATCACTGAGCTCAACCAGCTACCACCCACCCTCTAATGCCGCCCCATCAAAAATTTAAGGGGACAGGAAGGGCCCTGCCTAGAGGAATTGACACAGTGCTGCTGTGTCATTTGGTTTCATTTGGTTAGCCAAATGAAAAATGGAGATGATTTGGCCTCACACATAAATGGTGTCCCCAGAAGTCCATTCTATGACCAACTGAGAAAGGGTCATAACTAAGGTGACCAGATTTTAACATTGGTAAAGCAGGACACCATTGATGGGATGGGGGCGGGGACTAACCAGTCCTGCTCAGTCTCCTGTTGCCTAGCACACAGGTTATGGCTAAGGTGACCAGATGTCCCGCTTTTTATTGTCCCGCATCCTGCGGAGTTTTTTAAAAGTCCTGATTTTTGGAAGGAATGCACGACAAGCTTGGAAACAGTGGGAGAATGGGAAGGGAATATATGGTTTTCAGCTGCTGAAAAGGTTAATGTAACTTCATTTGGAAATGTAAAGGCTAATGTAAACTCCCTATTCCCCCTCCTGGGCAGTGTCGCCCAGGTGGAATCTGTACCAGGAGACTGGCTCCCTCCCTTGCTTCTAGGCAAGGGCAATTAGCTCAGAAGGAGCCAAAGTGGAACAAACAAGTAGTCCTCCCCCTCGAGAGTAAGGTGACCAGATGTCCGGCTTTTGGTGGGACAGTCCTGATTTTTAACAATTTGTCCTGTGTCCTGCGGTGTTTTAAAAAAGCCCTGATTTTTGGAAAGAATGCACAACAAGCTAGGGAATGCGGGAGAAGAGGAAGGGAATATACAGTTTTCGGCTGCCATGTGGCTATTTTACCAGGATATGAGTTTTATATTATTTTTGTTAATTTTATAATGTTAAACTTTAATAATAACAAATAATTGTTGAGAACTGATTATTGAGAACTGCTTATCAAAGTTTGCATTGTTGTCAGGCCCTGCCCCCACCCCATCAATGGTGTCCCGCTTTACCAATGTTAAAATCTGGTCACCTTAGTTATGACCCTTTCTCAGTTGGTGCCAGGTAAGAATGGACTTCTGGGGACACCATTTATGTGTGAGGCCAAATCATCCCCATTTTTCATTTGGCTAAACTGTGAAGTGACAGCTGCCTTTTTTTTTTTTTTTTTTAAATACAGTATCTTGCTCTGTTGTTCAGGCTGGAGTGCAGTGGTATCCTCGTCACTGTAACCTACAATTCCTGGGTTCAAGCAATCATCTTGCTCAAGCCTTCTGAGTAGCTGGGACTACAGACTTGCACCACTACACTTGGCAAATTCTTTTGTTTTTACTTTTTGTAGATACGGGGTCCTGCTGTATCGCCCAGGCTGGTCTTTTACCCCTAACCTCAAGCAGTTCGGCCTTGGCCTCCTAAAGTGCTGGAACTGTGCGTGGCCCATTATTCACATTTCATTTCTTCTATTACCAAGGAGCTTTCTATCTATGGGTCTTTTTTATAACTAGTTGTTAAATTGATTTCCCATTGAGTATTTGTCTTTTTCTCATTCCTACATAATTCTCTTTTAAATTAGGGATAATAACTTAATCTGAATCAAGAAAAAAGATAATAAACTAGGGATAATAAACTTCTATGGGGTAAATGCTTTCTAAATGTACCTTTTAATTTTGTTTAGGGACAGCTTTGCTGAAAACACTATTTTTGTGTTTTTCAAACTGCAATCTTTAAATGTCTCTTGTGCTTTTGGAGCCCTTCCTGCCATTGACACAAATTCTCCCATTTTTTTGTTTATAATTTTAATTTTTATCCATCTAGGACTTATTTGGAGGTAAAGAGAGGGGTGGAGGTTGTCTTCCCCAAAGAACTCCCCAAATGTCCAGTGCCATGTACAGATTTAAAATGCCCCATCCTCCTTGAATAAGATCCGCTGTGCATCTGTGTCTATTTCCAAAGTTGCTCTAATCCATTGCTGACTTTTCTGGCTAATTCTAGCTGTTTTAATTGGCTTATCTTTGTGTGCTTCAATATCTTGTCAGGGAGGTCTCTGTTTCCAGCTCTTCCCATTTGCATCTGATTCCTCTTTGAGTTCTAGAGTCTCCACAGAGCAATCCCAAACATTTAGATAGGAGATACAGTAAACTTCGACTTCTGACCTCATAGTGGACTAGATTTCCAAGCTGATCGCTCAAAAACAACTAAAAATTCTGGGTAAAAATAAATTAGATCTGTTTCTTAATGTATCAGCAGGCCAACTAGAAAATAAGAAACAGGCAAAAATGTCATTGTAGGCAGGAGCCCGTGCTTAAGTGTTAAACAAGACAGTACGGCCCGGCGCCTGTGGCTCAAGCAGCTAAGGCGCCAGCCACATATACCTGAGCTGTCATGTTTGAATCCAGCCCGGGCCCGCCAAACAACAATGACTGCTGCAACCAAAAAATAGCTGGGCATTGTGGTGGGCGCCTGTAGTCCCAGCTACTTGGGAGACAGGAAGCAGGAGAATCGCTTGAGCCCAGGAGTTGGAGGTTGCTGTAAGCTGTGATGCCACAGCACTCTACCCAGGGTAACAGCTTGAGGCTCTGTCTCAAAACAAAAAAAAAAGTGTTAAACAAGACAGTGTTGGGCGGTGCCTGTGGCTCAAAGGAGTAGGGCACCGGCCCCATATGCCCGAGGTGGTGGGTTCAAACCTGGCCCCAGCCAAAAACTGAAAAAAAAAAAAACAAGACTGTGTTAGTAAGTCAAGATCTCAAAGGGTAACCGCTCAGCATAAAGGTAGACTAGAAATCAGAATAATTTCCTTAGATGTACACCCCAGGAATAGAAAGGGAATGAGTCTTAGACCTTGCTTTTAGGAGGAAGGGGTAAAATCTCATCCATTGGTTCATAATCTCATGAGTTTGCAACTCTTAACTGCACAATCTGGGTGTCTGAGAGTCTCAAGTAAATGATGTGCTTTAGAGCAATTAAGGGTGGTAGTGACTCGGTGCTAGAAGAACCTTCAATTCTAGCTTCAAAGAATTACCCCGAAACACATCCCAGCCTTATTGAAAAGCTCAATGTGGGTGGGAGGCAGCAGAAATGACAGCAGTGAAGACTTCCACTGTTGGCATCATCAGACCCTAAGTCCACATGTTTAATCCTGAAATGGAAACAAAGAGCAAGACAGTAACATTTGTAGAAGAGCCAAATAGAACTAGAGAAAATTTAAAAGCTAATAACAGATTTAAAACACTGGATAGGTTTAGCAGTGGGTTTAACAGAGCCAAAAAGAAGACTGATGTACTGGAAGATGGAGCTGGTTAAATTTCCTGAGCAAAAGAAAAAGAAGGTTAAAAGACAGAGGAGAGAAGGGAGGCAAAATCTTAAAGGATAATGGTTGAGAATTTTCCATAACTGATGAGTGACATCAATTTATGTATCCAAACAGCCAAACAAATCCCAAGCAGAATATATAAAAAGATAGGCTGAGGGAAAGTGGAGAAAACCAAAGCCAACGAGAAAAGTGAGACTGACAAACTGAGAGCCAATTCCTCAGTCCCGCAACCTGGAAGTCAGAACACTCTAGAGTAACACTTTCAAGGTGCCGAGAGAAAATAACTAGTGAGCCAGAAATGTTCATCTGACAAAAAAAAAAATCTTTGGAGGATGAGGATGAAAAGACAGTAGCTGAGGATTTACCACCTGTAGATCCTCATCAAGGGAAATTGAGGGAGTTTTTTCAGGCAGAAAGTGATCATTCAGGGAGAAGGGCTGATATGCAG